TCGACCCATAACCAGACCAAGGCAAAGTTCAGAATCCTTAACTCAAGAAGATGACATAAGAAAAGGAAAAGGTCCCAGAAAGTATCAACCTTGGACTGAAACTGGATGAATACAACTATCCAGTTTGGTCCAGACTAATGGAGTTCATCCTCGAAGGCAGAGGGAGGATCCACCACATCACCGGCGACCCCTCTCCTCCAAAAAAAGGCGAACAAAAGTATAAGCAGTGGAGAGAGGCCGATCTGATTGTGATGTCATGGCTCCTCCAAACAATGGAAACCCGACTTATGACCCGGCTGTCCAAACATCAGACCGCCAAAGCTATCTGGGATAGTTTGGCAATCACATATGGAACCACCATCGATCCGTTGCAAAGTTACGAACTTGAAGTACGAGCCAACACCATAAAACAGGGGCCTAGATCAATCGAGGTTTATTGGTCAGATATCACCAATGTATGGCTCGAAATTGATCAGAGAGATACAAATCCCTTTGCAGAGTGTGAAGAGGGTCTGCAAATTTACCTGAAAATCGTAGAGCAGAGGCGATTGTTCCAGTGTCCGGCCTCGATGGCACACTCGACGGAGTCCGTCGAGATATCCTCAAGAAGACTCCTCTACCATCAGCCGAGGCGGCATTCTCCATAGTCCGGCTTGAAACCAGCCGCCTCCACAGTCGGCAGTCCGACCCAAGCCAAGGACTGGAAATCACCCAGGTCGGCGCCGGATTCGGAGCGAAGGGACAGAGGAAACCGACGACTAAAGAGAAATTGGATCGGTCGAAATTGGTGTGCACACACTGCGGGATGCGGAAGCACACCAAGGAGGAGTGCTTCAAGCTAGTGGGCTACCCAGAATGGTGGGGAGAAGGTCATCGGACCTCTGGGAAGGGCGGCGTTGCAGTTGGTGTTGCAGCCAAGGAGAAATCGGGGCAAACTCCACTCGATTCCTCCACGGCAAACACGCAAGGGACGACCACCGTCGGTGGATTTGGAGGGATGGTGACCGGCGGACAATACCGGTGGAGGGAGGGGGAAGGCTCAGAGACGACGAATCATGGGGAATCTAGATTTCTTTATAAACAATGGCATTCCAATTGTGGTCCTCATGGTTCATTTAATTCGGTTTTAAACCCCAACCCTTTGCTATATAATTTTGTTTCGACCCCAACTCATAATTCCTTTTCAAAAACTAACCCCTCACTTGCTTATATACTATCAAATTATCCCACCAGAAAAAATAGCCTCTCACACACATGGATATTTGACTGTGGAGCAACCGATACCATGTCCTTTGACAAATCTGATTTTATATCCCTATCAAAACCAAATAAATTTTTTGTCCAAACAGCTGGGGGGACCTTCTTCCGGTAAAGGGATCAGGCACTATTCGAATTTCCCCTACTCTAAGCCTTTCAAACTGCTTATTTGTTCCGTCTCTGTCACAAAAACTATTATCCATTAGCCATGTCACTCAAGAACTTAATTGCACCCTACTGATTAACCCTTTCTTTTGTCTACTTCAGGATATCAGGACGAAGGCGATTATTGGGCGTGGCACTGAACGACATGGACTGTATTGTGTGGAAGATATTTGAAAAACTGGTACCGTATTACTCACTCATGGATCCGTTGATCGGAGACTTTGGATTTGGCATAGGCGGTTAGGGCATCCCTCTGATAGTTATTTAAAGCTTCTTTTTCCTGATTTAGTTAAAAACTCTGTTTTACAATGTGACTCATGTGTTTTGGCCAAGAGCCACCGACATTCCTTTAAATCGAAATTTCATAGAGTTGATTCTGTTTTTTCACTTGTTCATTCTGATGTGTGGGGCCC